ATTATTTGTTATTACTATTATTATTATGATTATTATTATTAATTATTAATTATTATTATTATAACCACTACTAAAACCCCGGAATTTCAACAGCAATTGGAAGAAAAAACAAATTATGATAAATAATAAATCCATTTTTTTCCTTCCCTAAATTTTTACTCTAAAAAAGTTAATGATAATAAAAAAATTATTATTTTCAAGCATTTCAGATTAAATGAGAATAAATAAGATGCTTCTATTAAATGGCAAATTTAAATTTCAAAAATGATATTTTCCTTTTTTATTTAAATCATTTAATATTATGTAAAAATGACGGCATGATAATGATAATTGATAATTAAAATAGAAAATGTAATAAGCATTAAAAAAAAAAAAGAGAATTGTTTTAATGATTAAAGCAATATAATAAATTTTACGCTATCATTTGTAACTTTTTTCAACGATTTATACTTATAAAAAAAAATGAATTAAAAGATCAAATTACATATGTATAAATGCATACAGAAATCTAATTTAAAGAAATTAATGGAAGAATTGTTTTGATGAATGAATAAGTCGTTATCATTAATTCAGCTATTTCTATGCTATCACATATCACTTTCACCTATGTGTATGCGTGTGTGTCTGTGTGTGTGTGTCTGTGTTTGTGTATTTAAATAAAGGTACGGATATGAGTAATATAATATTTATAAATGATATATATTCAAAGTTGAAAAAAAAAAATATTTAAATAAACAATTGATTGAGTGTGGCAGGAAGAGGAAGAGAAAGGTAAGCAAAAATATAAGGAAGGAAGGAAGGGTATATTTGAAATAATTATTTTTTTAAAAAAAAAGAGAGAAAAGGTTGAATCAAAAGAATTTAAATATAAAAGTGCACAGTATACATTAAGGCATATATTTCATAATTTTTGTTTGTATGTCTGAATATGTGTGTTTTTATATATATCATAGTGAAAAATGGATTATAAAATGAATGAATTTGCAGTATGCTTTAAGATAGCGGTTGCTAAGAGCGACAATTATTTGAATTCAATATTCAACTTTTTAGATTCCAACAATTATCAGATAATTTTAAACTGATGGCGGAAAGTGTCCGTGTAATATGTCGATGTCGTCCATTAAATAATCGTGAAATAAATCTTAATTCACAGGTAAATAATATCAAATAATATTTCAAACATTGATTCATTTTTTTAATCCTTTTCTCAACTTGTTTTTTTTTTGTCATGTATCTTTATTGTTTTGTTTATTTTGATAAACAAATGTAATATTTGTGATGAAATAATTGTTGATATAATTTTCTTTTGATTGTTTAATCTATTGTTTTTTGCAAGAAAAAGATGAAAATTATAGTAGTGTGTAGAAAAATTCTAAATTTACCAAATTTTAAAATTCTAGATTTGTTATCAATTTGTTAAATAATTCGTGAAATCTTAATCCACCGATAAATAATATAATAATATTTCAATCATTAATTAACTAATTTCTTTCTAACTAAAACAAAAGAAATTGCAATTTCCAAAAATTTGATAATTGATAAAGTGAAGCGCTTAAGGAATAGTAATTGATGAATTAATATATCATCAAATTTATAATTTGGAAATTTCAATCAGATTCTCAATTCTGCTTCTTTACTTTTTAAATAAAATAAATGTGTTAATGAACAAAATGATCAAAACTTTCTCGATTAGTTGGTTTCATTTTTTATAGCAAATAAACAACAAAATTTATATTTTTGAAGAATGTCTTTGTTATAATTATATGATTAATTAATGTATGCATATATTAATTAATCATATAATTTTGACTATATACATATATATGAAATTGCTTAACTTGCTAATTTTAACTAAACTAACTTTAACTTAACTTTAACTTTAACTTCAATACTTTGAATACATATATTCCTTATTCTTCTTCTAAAGTTTAAAAGAAATTTTTGATCAGAAAAATAAGTTGAAAATATTAAAATTTTTATGTCACAATAATTAGCTAGAAAAAAAGATGACAAAGTATGAATGCTAAGTAATAAGAAAAACTTTACATTTATGTTTTGAAATTTGTTTCATTTAAAATGATTCTTTTTACTATGGAATATTTATCCATCAGATGTGATCATAAATCTTCCTACCAGTCCAATATATATGTATTTTCCCAACAATTTGAAATAATACATTGAAAGGGGAAGTGAAATGTAAAAATTATAATATAACATATTTAATGAATGATTTCATTTAATCATTCCTAACTATTTCATTTTTTCAAAAAATTTTTTTTAAAATTTTTTTTCAAAAATTTGAAATAAAAATTTAGAAATTTAGATATGTGTACAAATGGATCAAAGTTGTGGACAAGTAATATTACAAGGTGAAACTGGTTGTCCCAAACAGTTCACATTTGATGGTGTTTATTATATGGATGCTACAGCTGAGCAGATCTATAATGAAATTGTTTATCCACTTGTTGAAGTAAAATATTATTCATATAATATTTTAGCAAATTTTATTATTTGTAATAATAAAATTTTACGATGAATTGAATTTAATAATATTTCAAATATTTGACATTTTAAAAGCTATAATAAAATTAATTCTAAATTTATGCTACAAAATTTGCAAATTGGAATTATCGAAGAAAATATGTCTGAGCTAAAATGTTTTTTTTTTTTGCAGCAATTAATAGAAAGGTGTAAAGGTATTAAATGATTAATTAGTGTCTAATAATTATGTTATTTATTTTCTTTGTTGTTATAATATATGCAATTTTACGATTCAATGAAATACATTAGCTAGGAAATTAAAAAGACTTTGCAGCATATGTAATATAATTATTTCTATCATAAATTGATATTATATGGAATTTCTTTTTGTTTATAACTTTTTGTTTTTACCATTATAAAATCATTTAAATTATTTTAAATGCTTTAAAATTTTTAAAAGTTTATTATCTAAAATAAATAAAACTTGATTAATTGGGAAATTAACATTATTTGCAGAGTGTTATTCAAGGATATAATGGCACAATTTTTGCATATGGCCAAACGGGTTCAGGTAAAACTTATTCGATGCAAGGTGATGATAATATTACATCTCAAAAAGGTATCATACCTCGAGCATTTGAACATATCTTCGAAGCAACAGCAACTACCGATGATGCCAAATTTTTAGTTCATGCATCATATTTGGAGGTTTAATTTATTGCTTTTATTTTGTTTGGTTAATAATTAAAAATCTTAATAATTAATTTTAAAAAAAGGGATTTTCTTTTCTTAGAAAATATTTTGAGTAATTCTAAGGTAGCATGCGTATATTTCATTTTTTTCAAATTTTAGAATTATAACATTTTAAAGAATTGTTTGATATGGTATATTTGATTTAAATGAATGAAACAGTTTATAATATTTCATATGATAATTAGTATAAATTTTAATTTAATAACAATTATAGATTTACAATGAAGAGGTACATGATTTATTGAGTACCAATCATACGAAAAAATTGGAAATCAAAGAGCACAGTGAACGTGGTATATATGTTGCGGGATTATCAATGCATGTATGTCACGATTATAAGGCATGTCAACGATTAATGAAGAAAGGATCGGAGAATCGTCATGTTGGAGCAACCTTAATGAATAAGGATTCTTCTCGATCACATTCTATTTTTACCGTTTATGTTGAAGTAGCACTCAATAATGGTTCTATACGAATAGGAAAATTAAATTTGGTAGATTTAGCAGGCAGTGAAAGACAAGCAAAAACTGGTAATTTTTGATATTTGTTTCCTTTTTTATGAATTTAGATTAAAAATATTTATTCGAATTCAAATTCTAGTATAAAATTTTTGTTAAAATTATTTAGTATTTCATATAAATAATTAATTTGTTAAGAAAATGATATTTGAATAAAAATGAAATAATGGAAGCTTTTATTCTAAAGGTACTACTGGTGATCGTTTTAAAGAAGCAACCAAGATTAATCTTTCATTATCTGCTTTGGGCAATGTGATATCAGCCTTTGTAGATGGCAAATCAAAGCATATTCCTTATCGTGATTCGAAGTTAACACGGTTGTTAAAAGTGAGATTATAATAATTGATAATTCAAATCTTCTTCTTTTTAATTGTTACATAATTTCTGTAATTTTGATGAAATTCAGTTTAAACATTTCTTTAGTAAAGTGTATGATAGTACCAAATACTTAATATCTGCCACCAAAAACGATATATCTGCTATCAATCAGAAGTTTTAGTTATAATTGCATAAGTAATATCTTAATTAAAATCAAAAAAAAGCTAATTACGTGTTAGTTGATTAGATAATCTGAACAATATATAGATTACAGTGGATCGATAAGATTGAGAGATGCATTTTTCTTTTTATAAAAGTAAGAATTCTTTGATGATTTTTCATTTTTGCTATTCTTTAGGATTCGTTAGGAGGGAATATGAAAACAATTATGCTTGCATGCGTATCACCATCCAGTGATAACTATGATGAAACTCTATCGACTCTAAGGCTGGTTGTTAAGTTGCTGTTAAACATTTCAAAAATATCAGCATATCGTGTATTGCGGTATCTTATTACCAACCAAACATTAATAGTATAATTTTAAATTTAATTCATAAAAGGTAAGAAATTATATCCGATGTCATTTTTTTTTCTCTTGATATTTTTCCATACTATATAACGAGATATTGATTTTATGATAAGTGTATTTTCAGATATGCAAATCGTGCGAAGAATATCAAAAATAAGCCTAAAATCAATGAGGATCCAAAGGATGCATTACTTCGCGAGTATCAAGAGGAAATTCAACGGCTTAAAATTATGATACAACGCGGTAAATGCCATTTATAGTAGATTGGACGAGTGAGAAATTATTACGTAAATTAATGCATGATCGGATGGACATTTGAAAATGTTAACTAACTTCAGTAAATGACTGGAAATATTGAATGGAAAGTTGCAGATCGTCAAACTGAAGAAACAGTTAGATAGGCTTTCATACAAATCTAAATGTCGATTCACACAGAAGGAAAGCAAATTTGAATTGTTTAAAATTAACTTAAAAATTACAATCTGTAACAAGAATTGTTTCGATAATGTTGAGAAAATGCAAAACAACAGAAATTGCGATGTTTATATAATTAGAGATTGATAAAGTATTCTTGAAAAGCTAAAATAAATGAGAGTGATGATAAACAAACGAAATGTATTTCGATCGAAGATGGAACAGTGATCGATAAGATTTTTTGAAACATATATGATAAGTGTTGCAGAAGGATATCAAACAAAAGAGGAAATGAATTTCATGAATTTTCTGTTTTAATTTTAGATAATAGCACAAATTTGAATTCGAATGAATTGGATGAAGAACGTGAACAACTTAAAGCTGAATTTAATGCAGCAATTAACGAACTTCGACTACAGTATCAAAATGAGCAAAAAAGTAAAGCAAAATTACAAGAAGAATATGCAATATTGAAGGAACAATATGAGAAAGCAGCGGAAGCATTACAATATGATCGTAATTTAGACGTAGGTGAAGCAAAGAAACGATTACAAATTTTGGAAAAGCAATTTGTTGGCGGTGAACAAGTTGGTTATTTTAATTTAATAATCATTAATTTTTATCAATGCTAATAATATTATGAAGAATGATGTAATTTAAGAATTTTTATTTGCAAATATTATAGGCAAATAATGAAGCTCTTAAAGAACAGCGACAGTTTAAGATGAAAGAAGCAGAAAAGAAGATGAAACGTCTTGCTGGTAATTTTATTTTCAGAATGATCAGAATTTTCCATTTTCTTTCCGGACCTCCTTCATTTATGCTTTCCAAGAATTCTACCTTTGAACACTGTGAATACTGTACAATATGTTGTACAATTTGGCTATAAGCTATCTTATTTCTATTCGTTGAATTCATATATATGTTATTGATTATATTTGTTCTGAATGGATATGAATCCTATACGTTTGACTCTGTAAGAAATGATACTGACACATGTTAGCTAATTAAGACAAGGTGGACTAAAGCCACTGGTAGTTTAAATTAAATTAACGATGAAATAAACAGGTTAATTTAATTGTTGCCATTATGGGTCACATAATAAGAAAATCGATACGGCAAATTAGGACATTTAGTAGATTGAATGACTTAATGATTTTATTAATCGCTAAAATTTTTAATATTGGAAAATGATGGCATCATTTATTTCATCAATTGGAATACGAATTAAATTTCAGGAAAAAAATTTAATTTGGAAAATTTAAATTTGTATAAGATAATGCAATTTTTCAGCAGCATTAAACGTACACAGTGATGATCCATTACTTCATGTTTATAGTTCGACACAAGAAAAATTAGAAGCAATTACAGGACAATACAATAAAGCTAAATTCAAAGTAATGCTTTGATCTGTAACCTTTTCAATTATAAAACTTTGGTGTCATTTCTATTTTTAATTACAATTTAATTTTAATTATTACCTTTCTAGCGATTATGGGCATAAAAAAGTAATTTGTTAGTAATTTCTTCAAAAACAATTCAGTGGTTAATTAGATAACTAAAACGGCATAATTAAAAAAGCTAGAAATTCTAATTAGGAGAGAAAAAGAAAAATTTTGAAATAACATTGATAAAATTGATATTTGTAGATACAATCGCTAGAAAATGATATTGAAGATTTACATGGCGAATTTGAACTTGATAGGCTTGACTATTTGGAAACGATCAGGAAGCAGGATCAACAAGTTAAGCTATTACAACAAATTTTGGACAAGGTATTAATTATGTTGGCATTTTAAATGACAGCATTTAACTAAGTGATTTTTCAGCAACAACCGGATGTTTATTTTTTGTAACTTGAAATTTGAAATGAACAGAATCATCAATCGTGATTTTCGTGGCACATCTAACAAAACTAGTTCAACTGCTGTTATATCATCATTCATTCAGAAAATTGGATAATTTAATTTGATAAATTTTCATATTTAACATAACCAGGTGTTTGACATTGATTTATGATATAAATTACATTTGATAATTTAGATACATTCTACGCTTAAAAAAGATTGCAACTATTTTAATATGGAAAAAATTAAACGTGACGCAATGTGGAATGAAGATCAGGGAAAATGGATTTTACCGGATTTAATCATTCGTCATACAACATTACCTTATGCTGTTGCACCTGGTATGTTTATTTACTTTATCAAAAACGAATAGTTTTTTGGCTGAAGAATTTAAAGATAAACCTAAGGTTTTCAAATGATTAAAATTTTGTTAATTTTTCAAAAAATATATTTCTAATTTTGAATTATAAGTTTGGTGTTAATTTTTAGCAACAACTGGCAGCTTAGTGGATTCGCATAATCTATTACGTTCAAACACAACGAATGATTTATCGAAGCTTAAACAGGTTTAATTTTATTCCCATTTCTTTCTTAAATTTAATTTTGAAACCAACAATTATATCATTCAAACTTACTCCGAAATGATTCCATAAATTCTCATTGATTACTGTAAAAATCAGTTACTGTTAAAATATAAAAATGATACATTCCTGATTTTCAAGCTTAAATTTGTACTACCTTATATCTTTTTTTATCGTTTGCTAATTAAATTTTCCAATGAGTTTTCGGTAATTCATTAAAGTAAAAATGAGTTAAATCGATATAATGGATATTAAACAATTGTACGGAAGGTATAAGAATGAAACATTATAGAGATTAGCGAAAAGTGCGGAAGAAAATATAGCAAGCAATTATTTTAAACCGTTCAGCAGAGATGGTCTTATTAATAAATATAAAGCCGATCAGAATCGTACAATTGGTAAAAATTTCGTATCCTACTTCAAATTGCTACTTTTTTCCTTCCGTTAAAAATTGGTAGTCATATTTTTAAGAAATTCTTCCTCTTCCACTTTTAATAGACCGATTCAAGAAATTTATTTCTGCTCTATTCGATCCGGCGGCATCAATAAAGTGTTCATTCAAATTATTGCTATTTCGATGATCCTAATAGAATCATCGAAATATGATTCTAATGATTCTAATGATCCTAATGAAATAATAATGATCTAATAATGATGATTCTAACGTGACACGCATTGGAAAATGAAAGTTGTACCGGATAGTATAAAATTCGGAAAATGTTATGTGAAAATTATATACAAATATTTCGTTTCTCTTTTCCTTCAACCATATTATTTTCAATTCTTTTTTTCGGTTATTTTCAGATTTACAGCTGGATAAATATTCGTTACCAAAAAAACAAACATGTAACGATTTACTAAAAGGTGTCGTATATACGGATGATATTTACGATAAGCCTACCATTTTCCGGAAACCACAACGCCTTGAAGCACTTTCAGTGCAATTAAAATAAATATAATATATTTGAAGCTTCAATATATTAACAATTAGGTTTCATTGATATTAATTTTAATATTTATATTTTTCTAGCTTTTTTTTTTAAACTATAACAATTATTTCAAACTGAAATTAACTTATAATAGGCAAAAACAAATATAGCAGCAATTTCGGCCGTTCTGAATTATTTTTTACAATTCCTTTGTTTAATAAACTGTATTTTAATAATAATAATAATAATAATAATAATATCAATAATAATATCATAGTTTTCAAAATCATAACCAATTTTCGGTCCTTTATTTTTATCTACCTTCTTAATCAATTTATTATTATTATTATTATCCAATAATATCTTTATTAAACGTATAGTTTAAACGTATTACGTATAGTTTAGTAAATGGAACGTATAGTTTAAACGTATTACGTATAGTTTAGTAAATGAATATTTGAGTAATTTATGTAAAATAAAGCCTCAATTCCTTCGTTGTAAATGTATTTTGATTTTTGTTGTGCATTTATTGTCATCGATTGCTCAACTAATTTGTAACATATGATAAATGGTGCAATGCAGCAGCACTACCACCATTAGTACCACCAGTAGTAGTAGTAGTAATAGTAGTCAACAACAGGACAATGGTCAATCATTTCTCGTTTCGTGTTGGAGAAATGAGGAAAATATCGGAAAAAAAAACTGCTGAATTCCATCGTATCATATATTTTTTTTAACGAAATTAACATTTTCAACTGTTATTCGTTTTATTGATTTCATTTTCATCACCGTTATCTTTACCATATCATCTAATATTTATTGGAAATTTTTTGAAATACTGTTAATTACAGGTGTTTTGATTACAGGTGTTTTGATTACAGGTGTTAATTACAGGTGTTGATAATTGAAGCAAATATTACTAAGCAGGTGTTACTTAATGTAGTAATTATTATAATGGTTTGAAATGGATTTGGAATGTTGTCATAAAGTTAATCGGAATAATTTTCCCGAAAAAAAAAAGAATGTGAAGTTGAAATAAAACCGGAATTCATCAAATTAGTCAATGATATGAAACAGTTGCTCGATCAATTAATACATTCAGTTTGTCACATTTCAACAAAATTTCGCTTTTCTTCTTTTTTCATTTTTCACTTTCTATTCCGCTCCATTTTTATTACTTTCTTTTTTACATACTTTTTTTCTCTGATAACTTTATAACAGATAAAAGTTAAATTCGTTGAAAATTAACATTATGATAAATTAAAACATATTGATATTATCAATAAATAATTAGGCGGAATTATGTTAAAAAAAAAATGTAAAATTAAATAATTGAAAAATGAAATTATGCAAATTGGCGCCTTTTTCTTCCATTCTTTTTAAATGAAATTTTAATCAAAGAAATTTATTGTCATTTTAATCGGTGCATTTCATTGGTGAGTTAAAAATGATTCATTGAAATGATATCATTTTTGTCAATTATAGAGGACATTTGGCATTATGCCCATCATAACTTATACTTTTTCTCTATCACAATCGGAAACAATTAATTTCTCGTCATAACTTTTGAATTTGTTCACTTTCACGAAAATATTTTTTTTATTGGCTTCAAAAATTGCATCGAATTTAATTTTATATATTTGACACATATATATATATATATATATATATATATACACACATACACACATACACACATACATACACACACATGCATACATATTATATACATGACATGTCACATAAAATTATATATCACAAACATGCATACATACATATTAAAAAATATAAATCAAACATACACATACACATGAATAAGCGTAAATTAATTATATTACCAATAAATAATATGTACTTACACACATATATACATACATTTGCATGTATGTGTACACACAAACATACTCCGTTATTTATAAATATTTCGATTTAAAGTAGGATAAGTTGAAATTTGCGAATTCTCAATGCTTAGATATATAATTTTTTCCGCTCTCCTCAAATTATTCCATTATAATTCTCATTCAAACTATCATTATCATCATTATCCTTCTATTTTTTTTCTCAATCTTTCTCAATTCTTCACATTTTTCCATCATATTTCTTTCGATCCATTTCATACCTTTTCTTTCGTTTATTTTTCCTATCTCTTTTTTTATTAGTTATATTTTTTGTCCTTTAATATTTTAATTTTTCTGCTAACATTTTGTCATTTCATTTTCTGGCTTTCTCTATGCTTCATTTCATTCGTATCATTTTGCATATAATGCGATTTTGTCGCATTTGTTAATTATTATTGGACCGAATTCAATTTTAGAGTTATAATTAGTAAGTTAATTTGGTTAAATGAATGTAATAATTTTTGATAGAGAAAGGAAATAAAAGTGAAAGTTAATGGAAATTTCAATCATCATTAATTTTATTTTTAAAAACAACGAAAGAAAGAATAAGGAGAATGAGTAAAATTTTCAAATATTTAGATCCTTTTTAAATGAGTTTTCTGAATTGATCAAATAAAGCCTAATTGATGGAATTGATCAAATAAAGCCTAATTCCTTTTTAAATGAGTTTTCTGAATTGATCAAATAAAGCCTAATTCATGGAATTGATCAAATAAAGTCTAAATAATGATGGAAGCTTTCTTTGCTTTGTTTACATTAACAATCTTGTTGAAAATGAAGTACACAACGCCTTCTTTTTATCCTTTTTAATCATCCAATTCTTGAAGTTAAGTCGTAATTTAAATTTGTTTATTTGTTTATTGCTTTGCAACTTCAATTTAACCAGTGATAGAAAAGTAATCAACTGATTTTGACTTTGGTTTTTTTTTTAGAATTCATATAAATAATATACACTTTGCACTTTCCATGTTCGATTTTGTTTATCATAGGAGAAGATGACTCACAGTTTCTTATCCATGTGCTTCTTTCAGCCATCTAATTTTGATTTCCAATCGAAAACTCAAATTTCAATTTCTGTTTCGTTTAAAACAAATCTGTTGATTTAATTGAAAGTTACAATTTCATAACAAATTTCTATTTCAACTATCTATTTAGCTGATGTAGTTTTAGTTATAATTTGCCGCTTAATTCTAATTTAATTTAACGTTATAGTATCACGTTACCAATTGTTGTAGAATTAAATCGTAATTAATATGAATTGCTAATCGCTTCACTTCAACTTATTGTAATGAATGAATGAAATTGAAAACTTAAATTTCAGTGTATAAATTTACTTACCTATCATATATCGAAATATTTATGTCAATCATATTTAGAATTTAAAGGAATATAATTATTTGAAAAATTCATGCCTTTTGAAAATCTTTTATTTAATGCCTTTAATGGATATCTATAAATTTATTTTACATATTTTGGAAAATATGAAAACAAAAAAAATTTTAGAATTTATTCAACACTTAAGTGATACTTCACTGGTGTTGTCAGAACAATTTTATTTATGGTTGTTATCATTCCTTCTCTTCAACATTCTGCCGTACGTTGTTGTATGACAAATACAACAAAATGTTGAATTTTCTTCAACTATTTTTGCTTCAATTAAAATAATGCTCAATCAATATCTTATGGTATTTTACTAGCGAGAATATCTCGGTCTTTATGATGGTATTTTTCTATCCATTTATTCATCATTTCAATATAACTGATATGTATGTGTAAGGAATGCTACTCCATTTGGGAAAGTTCATGAAAATTATATTGCAATTATTGGATGATATTATGAGTTATTAAAATTAATCTCTTCCTTCACCTTAGGAAAATAAAACTGTCACTAAAAAGAAAAGAAATGAATGGAATGAGAGGTAGAGGAGACGAAGACAGGAAATCCGGAGGCGGGGGGGGGGTTACGAGGAAGGGAAATAATATGTGCAAGTGTTGGGTATATTATTCTTAAATCATTTATCTATCTGTCATCTATCTTAACATCTTTCGTCAACAGCCATATTCTCTTCCCTTTCATTCTATTATTTAATTTTGATAAAATTTCAAAAATAAACCGCTCTCATTTCAAAATGCTTTATTATTTTCAATTTCTTTAAATCAAAAATTTGCATTTTTTACTCTTACCTTATCATTTTATCTTTCAATCAAACCATTAACCATTTTAATCGAATGTCATTATTATTTTGGTTATTGTATCAGTTGGTGCACTGCACGCTACGGTTGCTTCTTTCTTCCAGGTGTTTTGATTTCTCCGTATTATTATTATTCCTCATCACCCGATCGTTCACATTTCTTCTCCATTCTCCCCCCGATTTCTACATGTCAATCATCTCATTTCTGGATTTATCAAGTGTTATTTTATATTAATTCGTACTTATCAGTGATAATTAGACTTTAGAGATGGTGAAATTGACATGATGGCGTAGTGACATCGGAATTTACCCTTTTAAATTGGTTTTGATTTAGTGTATAGCTCCATATGATTGATGTCTGGGAATGTACGTTTAAGTGAGTGTGTGTGTGTGTCTATAAATATATATATGTGTGTGTGTTTATATATGTCTCAGTGATATTTAACAAATCAAAATTATTTTCCCCACAATCACTTCCATTTATCAACTTTTCCACTAGTAAATTAGTTTAAAATGATCATTGACCTTCTTTGTAATCAACAGTTTAACTTCCTCATCAATTATATATTTCCTCAACAATTATTACCTTAATAATCTCATTAAAAATATCTCCATACTTATTGGTATGGTAAAACAACGCTGATAGTAATAAGAATAATAATTAGTAATAGTAATAATAATAATAATGATAGTAGTAATAACAATAATAATAATAATAGCACGAACAAATTTCCTTTGTTTCATTTTAAAAATTCATTATTTTCCTAAATCATCAAGGAATTCTGTGTTGGAATTTCCTAGTAGTCCAGAACTTGAAAATGCTAGGTTTTGTTATTCTCGGTACTTTATGAGGATTTATTGCTGAAAGAGCAATTCTATTGTGAATTTATGTTTATCTTCCATTTCTAGCTAGCAAACATTTCCATTCCCTTTG